AGTCACACAGAGATACACAAAGTGGAGCACACTCAGAGATTTGTCAGAATTTAGTGTACAGGTATCACATGAAGTTTTAAAATGCTGAGGCAGTATATATTTGAAATTTGCATACCTGCATTTATTGACATAACTTTTATGTTGGGTTACTAAACTGCCATGTAACGCATTGATTCAGCCTTAACACTGCAGGTTTGTCATGTTTTTGAGTACTTACAGGTCATTGTAAGGGCATGCCAAATGATTTGCAGTGCATCTCTACATTCCGCTAGGTCATGCTTTGACAAACCAAAAATGTGGCAACCACCTGGACCCTGGTCCCTTTTTTTTTTTTTTTTTTTATTACACCACTCAAAACAAGGTAGTGATTATAGCACTCTATGTGCCAACATTGGTATATCACCAACACTAGCATTTGCACCTTTTATTGCTTATATAAACTGACTGCATTGTAATGTGCTGAACAAGTTTTAGAATTTACTCTGTGATTGTAGCTGAGTGAGTCGAAATTTATTTCTAATTCACCATTTTTGCCAAAATTATTCAGATTTAACTTCACTAAAATTTGAAGTTTTGTGAATAAACACACTGAAAACCTTGCAAGTGGTTTGATGTGGAGTTTTTCTACAATATTTTCCAAAAGGTACAGTGTGAAGGTTTTGAACAGTCCATAAAAATTTGATAAACCCTAAATTCCTACTTTGCAATTTTGTATGGTTTGCGGATATATACATAAAAGGTTTAGAGTATTTTCCACACATATTCATACATTATTATTTTTTTCCCTAGATGGTTCAGAATTTTCAGGATGAAAGCTGTTTCATGGTTACAACATTAAAAGGTATTTTGCATTTCAACTTCATCAAATTAGGGCTCTTATTAAAAAGGATTTTAGGGAGTCAGATGCTATGATTGCATACAAATTCCTTACTTTTACCTCATTTTATGTAGTCTTCTGAATTCAAATTCTGGAACAGGCTTTGTACAAATCATTGTTAATGATTATTTTATTTAGTGCAAAAAATAGCCCAACACAAAACACGTTTGATCTTTTTGGTGGTTAAAATATGCTACCTTGCCTTTTTATTTCACCATTTTGTTCACTAAAAAAAAAAAAACCTTTCTTCAAAACTTCCATCAAAACAAGGCAACTTGCAGATTTTTCTATACATGCACTGTTACATTATACCGGTTTACCTTCAGTGTATGCTTGTAATGCTAAATGAACTTAATGAATATTGAAAGCAACTGGCATGGTCAACATGTGTTGTATCCAGGAAACTTGTCCTCCAACATTCTCCTGTACTAGTACTTTGTTCTTCTGGTGTTTCATGCATTCCTGTTGGTTATTAACTGTAGATGCAGAACAACACTATCACCACAGTATAACGTGTGAATAGTGTGCAACAAGTATAAAATATAGTTATCTAATAGTGAAATTGGACAGCCTCCATATGATCATTTTCCAGATAATGATCTCTATCAGTTTATAGACCACAAAAAATGGGAATTGGCTTTTAAATCTAGAAAAGAACAAAAATAGTGTATTACAGTTAGGTAATATGAATGTGTGCTATCATTGAATGCACTCACAGGATGGAAGTATAGATTGCACACAAGGGTGCCACCTGTGAGTACATTCAATGGTAGCGCACATTCATATTTAACTGTACTACATTATTTTTTTGTTCTATGTTCTTTTCTAGATTTAACAACTGATTCCCCTATTTTTGTCATCTATAATATGGTTAGTAACTGTGCAGTGTTACAGAGAAGTAGAGCAGGACATATAGTATAGGGAAGTTTTTGGCACCTGTCTTCTTACACCCTGTTCCAAATTATTATGCAAATTCTATTTAAGTATCACAAAGATTAAATATTTTGCTTTTCAGTTTAACTCCTGGATGGCATTGTGTCTCAGGGCTCTTTTGACCACTGAAAACAATCTCTGACACCTGTGATAATTAGATTGCCAGGTGAGCCCAATTTAAGGAAAAACTACTAAAGGAGGGTTTATTAAGCAGAGCACCATTTTCATGCAATATGGGGAAGAAAAAGGATCTCTCTGCTGCGAAGAGAGTGAAATAGTTCAATCCCTTGGACGAGATATGAAAACATTAGATATTTCATGAAAACTTAAGCGTGATCATCGCACTATTAAGAGATTTGTGGCTTATTCAGAGCACAGACTGGTTTGTGCAGATAAAGGCACATTGAGGAAGATTTCTGCCAGATCCATGCATCGGAATAAGAGAGCAACTGCTAAAATACCATTACATAGCAGCAAACAGATATTTGAAGCTGATGGTGCCTCTGGAGTCCCACGGACATCAAGGTGTAGAGTCCTCCAGAGTTTTGCAACTGTGCATAAACCTTCTATTCTGCCACAACTAACCAATGCTCACAAGCAGAAACGGCTGCATTGGGCAGAAAAATATACGACGAATAATTTTCAACAGTCCTGTTTACTGATGAGTGCCGTGAAACCCTGGATGGTCCAGATGGATGAAGTAGTGGATTGTTGGTGGACGGCCACCCTGTTCCAACAAGGCTGCGACGTCAGCAAGGCGGTGGTGGAGATAGGTTTGGACCTGAATCGTTGGAAGAGAGCTGGTTGGCCCCTTTAGGGTCCCTTAAGGCGTAAAGATGACCTCTGCAAAGTATGTGGCGTTTCTGGCTGACCACTTTCTTCCCTGGTACAGAAGGAAGAACTATGCTTTCTGTTATAAAATCATCTTCATGCATGACAATGCACCATCTCATGCTGCAAAGAATACCATCAATGGCTGCTATGGGGATTAAAGGAGAGAAAGTCATGGTGTGGCCTCCAACCTCCCCTGACCGCAATCCTATTGAGAAACTTTGGAGCATCCTCAAGCCAAAGATCTATGAGGGTGGAAGGCAGTTTACATCCAAACAGCAGCTCTGGAAGGCTATTCTGACATCTTGCAAACAAATTCAAGCAGAAACTGTCCAAAAACTGACTAGTTCAATGGATGCAAGACTTGTGAAGCTGCTATCAACTAAGGGGTCTTATGTTAAAATGTAACGTGACCTGTTAAAATGTTTAAAAAGTGAAAAGGTTGTTATAAGTTTGATTGAAATAGCTTTTGATTTCAGTAAATATGCTGCAAACACAACGAACGACAATTTTCAGTTCTTTACAACCTATAAAGTGTTTTGAAACTTACTGTGCGTAATAACTTGGAACAGTGCATTGTAAGTTTGTTTTAAAAAAAAAAAAATACTGTTATCATTAGGAGGTTTGTTCAATAAAATTTGAATTGTATGCTTAATAGTTGATAACATGAGAATTATGCTGACTGTTATTTACATCAATTATTTAGGTAAATGAGAAAAATATAATTTGCATAATTTGGAACAGGGTGTAGTTTAAGATTTTCCCATCATTAATCCACAAAGGGGAACAATAGCAATTGTATTTGATTTTATTAAAATGAGCACACAAAGTTGCAATACCCTGGTGTTATTGTTTGTACACTATAGTGTAAATCATTTGATAGTATTGGTGTAATTTGTTTTAAACATTTAAAAAAAAGTTGACTTTTAAACATTTCCCTTTTTGATACTCTCCTGCCCTTCCTGTACTTTTTAGGAGAATGCTTTGCTTGAGACATCAAACTTGTCAACAATATATAGTTGAAGTTTTGTTCTTGCCAATATTTGTACACTAACTTTTTTTTTCTTTTTTTTTTTTCTTAGCGGACAGTGGAGAAGGCTTTCACATAATTTTGAAATAGATCGATCGTGAACAGCTGAGCTGAGATATTGTGCTTATAACATTGATGAAACAAATAATCATTACAGAAGTTAGGATCTGACTTCAGTTACAATTCATTGTTTCATATTGAAAACACATGACAACCTTGGATAATACAGAAAGAGGTTACCTTCCCACTAATTATGTCTGCAAGGGGATTTCCCCCATAAATGTCTCCTCAACCAAGGTTATACTCCCTTCACTTAAAAAGCAGTGGCCAGTAGACCTTATTGTTTTAAGTGTTGAGATCTAAATTGCATTACACAATGTCTTTATTATGGCATTTAGAATGAATGTAAGTTTAAGAGCTTTGGTGTTTTGCTTACTACTATAATAAGGGCATTTTGAAAGGTTTGAGAAATACTGAGAGCTACAGTTATGATTGTGGAACTTCAAATAAGTACAGTTAATTAAAATCCACCTGTCAGATATATTCAGTATCACCTTTTGTCTTGCTTTTCAAACAACTTATTTTGATCAGTGATATCTTTTAATTGTTCTTAATTTAAATGTCTACAGAATGAGTTGTCAACTGTAGTTTTTGTTCCAAAAATATTTGTTTAACTTTTATTATTTTTTTTTTTTTTTTACCATTGTGTGACCTTTTGAGGTTGGACATGCATATGGAATGATGATTTCAGGAAAAATAAATACATTTTAAGGGTCTATATTTAAGTGCATTTATTTGTGCATTCTTTGTTAATTCTGCTGGTGATTTTATGTTTTCATAAGACATTTTTATGCATGATATTTTGTTAAGCCAAAAAAAAAGTTTCAGAACCTGTATCCTCTGGGGTTTTTTTTCCCTGTTTTTTTTTTTTTTTTGTGAATGCATTTGGCTAAAAGGGTCATCATCCATCACTTGACAACATTTTTTTAAACCAGCAAGCAAACACTTTTAAACAAATAGGCAACCCAAATAAAGCAAGAAAACTTTGTGGTAAATTTCTAAATGTTTATTACATACTGTTCAAATTTGCTCAGATGCATTACTGGACACGCCTCAGCTCAGTTTCAGTTCAGTCCTCTAATAACAAAAAGTGCATCATTGTGCAGCAGGAGAGAGGGAACCAAACATCAGAGCCTGCTTTGCATGATCAAACTCCCTCTTTAGGGAGTTTAAACATGCAAAGAAGTCTCTGATGTTTGGTTTAGGGTCACTGGCTAGATCAATGTACCCCTGAAAGTGAGGAATGCGTAAGAAAACAGGTAAATAGTTCAAAAATTATATTAACCTGCTTATTTTCAGCCTGCACAGTGAGGCAACTGTCTTAATTAAAGCCAAAGTTTTTTGATGAGACGGTTGTATCAAAATTATGTATGTCCGTTTAATGACTGCTGATGGAATTATTCTATGCCTGATATCTATAGCTTTACATATCAAGACAAAACAATCATCTGTGCCTTAACAGGTCTTAAAATTGGGTAAATACAACATCAGATGACACATGACATTACACTTAGTGTCATGTTTTAGTTAACAAATATAAAGCCAAAATGGAGAACCAATGTCCTTATGATTCAATAGCTTGTTAAACTACCTTTAGCAGCAATAACTTGAAATAAGTTTTCTGTATAAGAAACCTCAATGTAAAAGTGTGCTCTGTCTTTAAGACAGTACAGTGTGAATTGCACAATGTATAAAATTACCATCTTACATGTGTTAATTGATACCAGAGTGCACTGTATATTCAATAAAGTGCAATTAGATATTTCAATCACAATTAAGTGCTTCAATCCAAAGTGCAATCCATGTAACATGCTCAATTATTATTGCTATTTATATAGCGCCAACAGATTCTGTTGCGCTTTACAATATTATGAGAGGGGGATTTAACTATAAATAGGACAATTACAAAAAAACTTACGGGAACAATAGGTTGAAGAGGACCCTGCTCAATCGAGCTTACATTCAATAAACACTTGCATCATATAAATCCATTTAGCATATAAAAGAAAAAATATATAGTTTAACACTTTTTTTGGAAATGTAATCCTATGCAGATGAAGTATTACTTACAAGTGTTGAGTAGGTAAGACTGCTCAGGGTGTAAGTGTGCTTTTAGACCACTAAATTGGGTGGTTCCAGTAGATATCACACACAACAGCAGTAGTATCTTTGTAAATTCTTTATTTGCCAACTTGTATTAAAACTGCTTCAAGTGCATCACTCTGTACAACATCATTGCCTCCGCCTTCTGGAATCAATTTGAGCTGAAAAATCGAATCCTGTAGCCTTGAAGAAGCCAGCACTAGGGCTGGGATACATACCTCTACTGAGTGGACTGATCTCTGTGAAGCCAATGGTTTTAATGCGTTTTAAATGCACTTGAAGTTTTAATACAAGATGGCAAATAAAGGGGGTGGGGCCTGACTGCTAAAATGGTCGGTAGTGCTTTTCAGTAGCTCTGGATTTTGCACGCTGCTCCTGGGCTCTTCTGACTGCATCCCGCTCAGTCAGACCTGTATCAGACAGCAGCATCAAAACAGAGCACATTTAGGCCTAGAGACCTACTTCACTCGTACAACCCACTGCTTGGACAAAGTGGACAGAGAAACCAATACAGCCCTATCCCCCTCTCCCCTTTGCACCCGTGTGGTTTATCACGGTTCATGCTGGAGATACTCACCTCTTTGCCACAGAAGATGCTTCTGCTCCCACATGCTGCACCTAAAATAGCGGTCTTGCCATGGCCCTCGTAACCCCGAGCTCACCCTGAGACACATACTGCCGTACACTAATAAGCAGGCAGATTTTAAAGTTACAATAACTAAAAACGGATGGCGTTGTAACTAAAACCGAGTGCAGTCAATAAATCACCCAAGTGCAATGTCACTTTCAAACTTAATACATACATAAATCAAACTGGGAACAAAGTGATTTCGCAGACAGTGGTAAAACCTCACAGTTGGTAATGGTAATTAAAACCTGTAAAAAAAATATGGTATAGTATGTAAACCCAAATCAGAATGGTGAGAACTTGGAACACTCACAAATTAAAGAGCCTGTTGGCTCTAGACCGTACAGGCATTTCATGAATCTCAGGTTGATGCAGGGTAGAATACTTCAAGTGCCAGGTCCCTCAGAAAGCAGCAATATTCCTTTAAAAGGTAGCCAGGAACCAGATGAAGCTAAAAACCTAATTGCACATAAAACTATAAAGATACACAACGCATTTCAACCAAACTCAGGTGCATATGTTCATACAATGTCCATACATCCATATACATACCCCGCTAATGTTCAGATTTAGTCCAGGTGTGTTAATCGTCATGAACCAATGCCCATGACTAAATATGGTTAGTTTCCTGTGGCTTTTCGCCACCTCCAACATGCTGATACATCCAGTTGTGATATATCCGACCTTCCCATGATGGCCGCACATCAATTTGCAGCCTTGCCCTCTTCCAAAATGTCCGTGCATCGTCTTCCTCTGGCAGGCTTCCTGTTGTGGCTGCTTGTTTCCAGAGGATCTTACCACCCCAAGATGGCAGCATGTCCACATCCTGTAGTTCTGAGCTGCATCCAACATTTTCATTACACAGAAAGAGTTTACATCTAGCAGGGTGCTATGAGTGTCCAGACTTAAGTCAAGATGGCATCTTAAAGTCTGAACATCTTTATCTACTAAGGGTTACCGTAGTATATTATGTACTGAAAGAGTCGTAGCATAGCCTTGAAGCTTGTTTATGCATTATTGTATTTCGTCTGGGACAAAATGGCGTAAACATAATATGCACTGAAGGTAAGTAAGAAGTTATTGCTTAAAGAAACATGTATAAATAAACAATATGTTCCATTTCTAACACCTTGTCAGTTTTCAATATCTCGTAAAGACAAAGTACACAGTTTGAGGAATACAATATTTGTATTTGCCCATAACAGTATTCAGTTTATGTCTAAGAGTTCCAGATTATCAGTATCAGTCTTTGAGAGTGTCCCCTCTTCCCTTTGTCCTTACTTTTTAAAGGAGAAATTCCCTGTACGTCACTAGTTGATAGAACCAATAAGGAACTGTGGGTGTGTCTTCCCTACAGACTATCATCTAGATTTTGGTCAGTAGATGGCGCAATTACATCACCGAAAATTATTGTCAAGGGTTCCATTTACCTTTTTTGTATAATGGGTTAACTGAATTTCGTGGTGCGTTTGAAGTCATTTTGGTTATCTCTTATGTCTAGTATAGATCACAGAAACGGTCATCTTCAAAGCTTTTTGGTTCACTTCTATGAGACATAGCGTCTGCATTTTCGGTCGTAATTTTAGAATTGGCACATCCTAACCTTAATTTCACCCTTCCTTACAATGCAAATTTGTAAGATTCCGTTTTTTTTTGTTTGTTTTTAGAAAGTAAAATTAATTACTTAGTGTTATTTGTCATTTAGTGATCCTGTCTGGTTTTCTTGTGTAAAACTGTGTAGTTAGTATTATCATATATGTCTATTACACATATTCCACTAACGTTAGTAATAATATGGCATGTCTTCATTGATATTATATCCATGAATATTCTATATTATATAATTTATAATGTATACATTTGTCTTTGGGTTGGTGCATTCAACCTCCCTCCCCCACCCCCCTTTTTGCTGTAGACATCTCAGATTTTATCTCTGCTAAATGTTTACATAAGTCGCATTCCTTAACTCAGACCTGAATGAATAGTTACAGAGAGAGAAATTTGTGTCTGTCTTAGCCTTGTAATATAAAATGGAGTCACCTCTGTTTTTATTGGTGACTTACAGTATACACTTTTAGTTTCTATCTTAACACAAAATGTCTGCCAGTATAAACATACTGACACAAATCAATGTTTAACCCTTTTGGGAACAGTGTCTGCAGCTCAAAGACCCATCTCATTTATTGCTTCCCCAAGTTGCACCCCCTTCAATGTGTATTAACTTTTTCTATAGCCAGACATTATTGCAATTACAGTTGCAAGAAAAAGTATGTGAACCCTTTGGAATGATATGGATTTAGGCACAAAATTGGTCATAAAATGTGATCTGATCATCATCTAAGTCACAACAATAGACAATCACAGTCTGCTTAAACTAATAACACACAAAGAATGACCTGTTGCCATGTTTTTATTGAACACACCATGTAAACATTCACAGTGCAGGTGGAAAAAGTATGTGAACCCCTAGACTAATGACATCTCCAAGAGCTAATTGGAGTGAGATGTCAGCCAACTTGAGTCCAATCAATGAGATGAGATTGGAGGTGTTGGTTACAGCTGCCCTGCCCTGCCCTGCCCTGCCCTATAAAAAAAACACACACCAGTTCTGGGTTTGCTTTTCACAAGAAGCATTGCCTGATGTGAATGATGCCTCGCACAAAAGAGCTCTCAGAAGACCTACGATTAAGAATTGTTGACTTGCATAACGCTGGAAAGGATTATAAAAGTATCTCCAAAAGCCTTGCTGTTCATCAGTCCATGGTAAGTCAAATTGTCTATAAATAGAGAGTTCAGCACTACTGCTACTCTCCCTAGGAGTGGCTGTCCTGTAAAGATGACTGGAAGAGCACAGCGCAGACTGCTCAATGAGGTGAAGAAGAATCCTAGAGTGTCAGCTAAAGACTTACAAAAGTCACTGGCAAATGCTAACATCCCTGTTAGCGAATCCACAATACGTAAAACACTAAACAAGAATGGATTTCATGGTAGGGTATCACATAGGAAGCCACTGCTGTCCAAACAAAACATTGATGCACGTTTACAGTTTGCACAAGTTCCATGGCAGTACTGGCAAAATATTCTGTGGACAGATGAAACCAAAGTTGAGTTTGGAAGAAACACACAACACTGTGTGGCGAAAAAAAGGCACAGCACACCAACATCAAAACCTCATCCCAACTGTGAAGTATTGTGGTGGGGGCATCATGGTTTGGGGCTGCTATGCTGCGTCAGGGCCTGGACGGATTGCTATCATCGAAGGAAAAATGAATTCCCAAGTTTATTAAGACATTTTGCAGGATGCCAGCTGAAGCTGAACAGAAGATGGGTGTTGCAACAGGACAATGACCCAAAGCATAGAAGTAAATCAACAACAGAATGGCTTAAACAGAAGAAAATACGCCTTCTGAAGTGGCCCAGTCCTGACCTCAACCCGATTGAGATGCTGTGGCATGACCTCAAGAAAGCGATTCACACCAGACATCCCAAGAATATTGCTGACCTGAAACAGTTCTGTAAAGAGGAATGGTCAAGAATTACTCCTGACCGTTGTGCACATCTGATCTGCAACTACAGGAAACGTTTGGTTGAAGTTATTGCTGCCAAAGGAGGTTCAACCAGTTATTAAATCCAAGGGTTCACATACTTTTCCACCTGCACTGTGAATGTTTACATGGTGTGTTCAATAAAAACATGGCAACATTTCATTCTTTGTATGTTATTAATTTAAGCAGACTGTGATTGTCTATTGTTGTGACTTAGATGATGATCAGATCACATTTTATGACCAATTTGTGCAAAAATCTATATTCCAAAGGGTTCACATACTTTTTCTTGCAACTGTATTTATATATTTTAAATAGAGGATCTCTTACGAACTATATAAAATTATGGCTAAGAAATCTGTATGGTTAGCCCTGCTAAGTGCTATGC